GAGCTACCGGTACTGTATAGTGTAATAATTAAAATCAACTTTAGAACTCCAAGATTGCCTTTTACAAGATTTGCGTACAATTATTGCCTTGTTGAATTCTTGAAAAATGAGCAAAAGACAAATCAATGTGTATTCATATGCAGAGCACAGTGGTCCAACATGCCCAATGGTATCAGACTCGTGTCATGAACATGACAGAGAACAAGGCGAAATTTGGTATTGTTATGACAAGACTTTTTTTGCTGCAATTGTGTCTCTCTTTCCATGAGTATAAATGGATACTTTTGAGGGTAGACCCCAGATCGCACTGACTTCAAGCTGCTGTAGAAAACTGGCCTCGATCATGGCCTGATGAACATGAGTAATAAGTGTCAAGCGCATTCAGACTTTGCTAAAAAGCGCTACTATGATACCACAATACGCTTTGGAATAATACAGGATATTTAACAGCAAAGATGCCCACATGTACCGGTATATGTGTCCTTTTTCTGAATTTTTTTTTTCACATAAAATATTGCGTGATGTCACTCTCTAAATAGACCATTCTTCGTAATAAAAAGAGACCCAATATAAGACACTGTAAAGTACATGCCAGCACTTTGCAGATTAAATTTCAGAACCAAACAGACAATTCTTTACAGATCCGTTATTGCTCGCTACGTTTTGTACATGGCTTGCATTTCCTCAAATTACTCAGTACAATGTTCCTTTTGACTTTCGATAAAAACCGAGTCCATTCATCTCTCTAGTTGGTCGGTGTAGCCTTACGGCACTTCTTTTCATCTCTGCGATTCTTTTTTTTAGTGCCGTCGCTGTCAGTGCCTGTCCATTCTTCCTGTTCTTTCATGGAATCTTTAATCCCCCCCCTTTCCCTCCCCCGGAAATGTTTACCTATTCGTACTTCAAAGTCGTCTTTGAAAAAAATAAAGGAGTAAAGAAAAAAGTGTGAAAAGGCCTGGAGCAAAAAAATATGTTTATTCAAAAAATCTATCTTACATGTACTTGAAATTGATGCCATAGGGGCGTAGAGCCACCCTCACCACTTACACAGTTATTTGAAATTGAAACTAAGCCGTGAAGTGGCCGTGACTATAGCTGTGTTGTGTAAAATAAACATGTTTATGTCTGCAGGCGACATACAGGGTTGCATTATACATGCACATGAGAATTAATAAACAAAGGATTGATCGATTTTGCCCCTAGCCATGTTGTGAGCACGAAGGAAATTGGGTCTTTTGAACAACAAATTGAATTTAGATGAAGTCTGCTTCAGCGGAAAATAACAGAATTGTTTCTTCCTCAGATATAAACCAGTGGCCAAGCAGATTTTGCCCCCCCCCCCCCAAAAAGAGATAAACTGCGAGTGTGGGTACAGAAAGATAAAAAAAAAAAAAAATTAAAAAAAGACAATAAAAGTGAACTATCAGTTTAATAAGCATGCTCACTATTAAACTCAAATCCCAAATTGGTTCATGAAAAGTGACACAATATAGGCCTACCGGTACCTGGAATCATGGAGCTATAAAATTGGAATATAGTCTCCATATATTTGTAAATGTATGTTCACCAAAAAAATTGCACTGTGGAATACCAGTGCTTTAGATGACTACAATTTTTAGTACTATACCTGTATACAGTCGCATAACTTTCCTGTTTACTGTGTAGACCATGTGACATTAGTTTTAAATACAAAATTGAATGTCGTGGTCACGTGATGCCAACTTTCTGTTAAAATGAAGAGTATACGTGTACATTGTATTCCCGAAACGCAATTTATACGCCATTTGTTCCCTTTAGAATCCTGCTCTCTCGATCCTGGCTTCCAAAAGCAGTTACTTAAACACAGTGGATGACGGCTGTTACTTTTAAAAACACAACTGTTGTACATAGCAGCCAAAAGAAATTATAAACACTGTATACATGTACATGTAGACCCTGATGATCCAAAATCAAATGTACATGTGTACCATAGACCGATGGAAAAGATGGTGGGGAATTGAATCCCAGGAAACACAATAAGACTCAGCTGGAAGAAGTTGAGAGCACTGAATTTTTTTGGGGCCGTCCTTCAATTTCAGTGGGATGGAGGGCAGTGTTTCCAGCGTCCGTCCGTCTGTGGCGTATCCATTCCACCCTTGATTGGCCTCGGACACCTAGCCGTGAATTGCCACACCAACCCATGAATATCTGAGCTCTAGCTTTCTCAGCTTCTGGCAGACTTCTGTAAACGGTCCGGGGGGGGGGGGGAGAGGGGAGGGGTGGGGGAAGGGAGGCACGAGAGTGGAAAATTGGAAGTAGTTGGACTGGGAGTTATAAGATGCATCACATTCACAACAATGTTCTGGGTGACTGCTTAAATAATTATCCACAGAGTTGTCAAGTCAGCCAAATTGATTTATTAAAATTACAATTTGCTAGGTTTCTTCTTCTTACTTTTTTCGCAGTAATAATAATAATCTGCATTTAAGAACGCTCTTATTAGTAAACTAAATCACAGTGCTTACAGTATTATTATAACCCCTGATCATTGGGCCAATGAAACATTCCAAATACCATCTCAGCTCCCTGGGGAGTATACAGCTCGATGCTGCCTGTTAGGCGCAAGCAAGCTCAATCACAGTAACCATCTCTGCCCTCACAAAGTGCCTTGCCCAAGGGCACTCGCACCATGACCCGGGCTGGACTCGAACCCACAACCCGCAGCTTTACCCACAGACCACGAATCCAGTGCCCTTAACCATGAGGCCACAGCAATGTGAAGAATTTCTGGATTCAAAACTCTCTTGATCTTTGTGATTTGTTTTCCATGATTCACACTTAAGTTAAAGCATCAATTCAGTCATGAGCTTGCACAAAGTAGCACATTACAAAACAGGGATCGCGTGTTACATGTTTAGGGAGTGCGGACATTTTTGAATTTTTTTACAGCAATTGCCTTATCTGGCTCCATGACTCATTTTCATGAAACTCAAATGTATTTTAGTCCAGAGTGTCGAATGGTAACTCCTTGCAACCGATAAAAACTGGTGTGCAAATAAATAAGTGTTTTTCATCAGCTGACGTACCGGTTATCCCCCCCCCCCCCCCACCTATAACATGATCCTCCCTTGCCTTGCAAAGATTGTCGAGCATCTAATCACTCATCTTTAAAAAAAAAAAAATTAAGTTCGAAAAAAAAAATAACATGCATGCAAAAAAGTGAACATTTTCCAAGTTTACTGTCAACCATCATGTTTTGGTTTCACATGTCCATCAGTAACAAACTGCGAGACGTGAAACCGTAAAAAGCACAATTTCACCACAGAGAGAGTAAATAGTACCACACAGATTTCTTTTCAGCACTAAAATTGCTTTTTACACTTTATTTGCTCACACAATGTAAAGTAATTCCACAGCTGGAAGCATTTAGCACCAGATGTATCAAGAAAGAAAAAGCTTTCCGAAGTCTCTCACACTACGGTACATAAAACATGTCAAGAGAGAATCTCTCTCATGGAACGACCCTGAACTCAGCTGGCATTGGCTGCCCACTGACAGATAAGCACAATATATAATTACATTAAGATTGTCGTATCGGCTGCTATGACGACACTGCATGCCTTGTGCTCTGACAGGGAATGATCGTGTTTGACGCTTACGCCGTGATCGCCGGAATTTGCACCTGTCTCTTTGATGTCTTTCTCTGGATGAGGAAAAACGAGTGGACAGTATTCAGAAAAGGCATTTAGCTGAAAGGGATAATATAATGTGCATGGTGCTCTATGGGAAAAAAAACATTGTACCATTGTACCATCTTTTGTAGGTGACAATAACATTTCTTGATTTGAAAATTACAATATGTATGTTGGCATTATGGAGTGGTGATACATGTACATGACTTTTATATGGACAGTATACATGTAAACATACGTATAAAATTATCTGTAATGCTTCGCACAGAGATGCTACATTGATTTGTGGAGATCTCGTGGTAAATTGCTAATATTTTTTTGTTTAACCACTCATTTCCATAAAACTTATTTATTTTGACAAATTTCAATGCATTTTGCAGGCTTCTACATATACATGTATGGGGTATTACATTGTCATTACTCTCTTTATAGACCTCAAGTTTCAGTGCGACGAAATTAAAGAATAAGGCCAAATAAAAAAATGTTCTTGTCCACGCTTCTTCAAAAAAAGGATGGATGAGGCCCTTTTTTATTTTTTCCAAATTGGCAGATGGATTCTTCTATTTTCTTGACTCTTTTGTCGAAATAAGCCTTCGCCCATTCTACCAGCTTTTGAACAGTTTGCACATGTACACAATACAAATGTTCACAGGAACTATTTTACTGGAAATAAATAAAAAGTCAAGTGTATGGTAAAAAAAAAAGGAAGCAGGCGGGGACGAGAAAGCTGTTTATTTTTTACTTGGTTTACAGTTTTGTGTGCTTGGCTGGTTTTAAACACTCTGTTTAAGACCGGTTGGAGTCTTTGACTTTTTAGTCCAAAAGTCAATGCAAGTCAAAAATTATAAATTTCCGACAATTTTGTTCAATTTACTGCATGTTTTCGAAACATCCCTCTAGCTAAATTATGGGATGTCCATCTCGCAAAAAGTTGTAAACAACTCCTAAGATTGGCGCTCGCGTTGAGTGTACTGCGCGATGTGGTGCAGAACACAGCTGTGCCGGTGTATTGAATTAATTAGGACTATGAAATACTGACTCACTGGTAGTGTTGCATACATGTACAATGTACATGTATGCCTACGTGAGGATTTTTAACGTTGAACGGTGAAAGGCACTGGATTTCGTAGGAATCTAAATTTCAGGTGACACTGCAAATGTGTTTCAGACCGGCCAGCCGGTCTTTAACAACCGTTAAAAACCTGCCATGTGGCAGGCTCTGGACCAGTAGGAATGGGTAAACAGTCTTATGTACATGTATGAATGTATTTTTAATGCATGTAGGGGAGATTTTGTGATTAGAATTCCATTTATTATTGGCATCCCCAGGAACCACCATCAGAAACAGTCGCCGAGCCTGTAGCAGAACCAGAACCAGCCGCAGAGCCTGAGGCCCCCGCAGAACCACAGGACACAGCCCAGGACACAACCCAGGTCGCAACCCAGGAGGAAGAGACAGAGCAACCCGCTGCCCCTGCCGAGACGGTATCAGAGGAGGCACAGCCCGAGCAAGCAAAGGTAGCGTGTTATGTACAAAATGAGAATCGTTCTGGAACCCAAACTTACTTAAAATTTTTTAAGGAGCCTTTGTGGTTCCAAGTACATGTTCCCCAAAGTTCAATAATGTACAGTATACAGGTGTATAAAAAACACAAGATCGTCTAAAAAAAAAAGGGTCAATAATAAGCTTCAACATATCCAAAATTCCCCCCCCCCCCCTTCAACACACTTGTCCAGAGCGAAAGTGAATTCTTTGGCTAGCTTAATTTACCACTGAGTTAGCAAACTTGGAAACAGAGGGTATTTTTGGCCTTTGTTTTGAGATCAGTGGTGCTCGGTCATCCCAGACTGAAGAGAAGCAAATATTAACAAAAAGCTAATGAACTACCCTTTTAATAATAAAGGGAACTTCGGGTGGTCAGTTATATATTTTTCCTTGATGGGTTCCTTTAGACTGCTGAGGAGGCAGAGCCAGTGCAGGAGGCAGAACCAGCACAAGAAGCAGAGCCAGCAAAAGAGGAGGAGCCAACACAAGAAGCAGAGCCAGCTAAGGAAGAGGAGCCAGCACAAGAGGCGGAGCCAACACAAGAGGCGGAGCCAACACAAGAGGCAGAGCCAAAACAGGAGGCCGAGCCAACACAAGAAGCAGAGCCAGCTAAGGAGGAGGAGTCAACACAAGAAGCAGAGCCAACACAAGAGGCGGAGCCAACACAAGAGGCGGAGCCAACACAAGAGGCAGAGCCAACACAAGAGGCGGAGCCAACACAAGAGGCGGAGCCAACACAAGAGGCGGAGCCAACACAAGAGGCCGAGCCAACACAAGAGGCCGAGCCAACACAAGAGGCCGAGCCAGAGGCAGAGCCAGCACCAGAGGCGGAGCCCGCACAGGAGGCAGAGCCTAAACCAGAGGAGGAGGAAATCGATATCGATCTCAGCGATCCAGAAGTGCAGCAGGCAGCACAGAAAATCCAGGGAGGCTTCAGGGTGAGAAGGAAACATCAAAATCAGTCCCCCAGGGCCGTTTTTAAAAAAGCTGCTTAGGACAGACGTTTACAAAGCACAGAAAATAGTTGCTAAGCAAAAACAGGATACCAGCTAAAATGTCGCACATACATACTACTTGTGACTGATGCTAAGCACATAATTATTATTATTTATTTCTGGTAATGAAACCAAGGATTCCTCAAAAGCTCATTAAGCACTGTAGCTCGCAAGCCTGAAGAAATCTGTAGAGAGAAGACAGTGAGAAGAAATTACAGTTTTTTTAGGTTAATTGGAGGAAAACTCCCAGAAGAATATTCTGGGAAAACCCACGGAATCAGGTAGGGACTGAAAACCCAATCCACATGTTGGCCCAGGCTGGAATCGAACCCAGGTCACAGCAATGGAAGGCGAAAAAAGTACCTGACCCCTAAGGCCATGTCCAAAAGTTGTGGCTGCGGCTGGAAATAACAAGTGCAACTATGGAAGCCATTGGCTTGTGGCTACAGCCACTTCCCATAGACGTGTGTGCTACTCCCAGCCGCAGCCAGTTGATTCGGACACAGCCTAAGTTTGCTAGGCAACATTTCAGCTTATCAGCTCCATGAAATAGGGCCCAGATGCGAAGAACCCATAGAACAGCAGCAGCATCACTCTGCAGTGTCACAGCCAGCATGAAGCTTGCACATTGAACCAAGCACACTACAGGGTGTTTCAATAGAAAGGAAACCCAACTTTGAAGAACCAGTATGGATCAGACTAAATGTTTACTGGCAATAAAACTGGTATCATCTCTATGCTTTTCAATGATACCTTGTTTACATTTCCAGGGTCATGCATCACTGAGCGCCATTGTCTTGAGATTTTGATGCAAAATTGCAGTCGGTTCATTTTCATGTCAAACACAATAGGCATGGTGTGCATGAGAATAAGTATTCAAGAAGAAGAAACGAGTGCATAAAAAGAAACCCCAAAACAAGTGGGGTTGGTTTCAAAACTGGATTTTATTGTTTGTCATGAATTTCTCGTTTTGACCAAGCCACGTTCAAAACAAAGTGCCATTTTCCTGAGGATTAACATTCAAGCCATTTCACAGACATATTCGTAACAATAGGCACACCGTGCCCAGTGTTTTTTTCTTCTATGAAAGTGAACCAACTGCATTTTTGTGTCCAGTTTTCAAGACAATGATGCTCAGTGATGCATGACTCAGAAAACCTAAACACGGTATCATTGAAAGGCATAGAGATTACGCTTTCAGATGGTACCAGTTTTATAGCCAGTAAACGTACCGGTATCGTCTGTCCATACTCATTTTTATGCCCCGCGGCGAAGCCGAAGGGGCATACTGTTTCCGCCTTGTCCTTCCGTGGGTGGGTGGGTGTGTGGGTGTGTGTGTGGGTGGGTGTGTGTGTGGGTGTGTGTGTCCGGACAAATCTTGTCAGCGCGATAACTTGAGAAATACTTTACATATGAACTTCAAATTTGGTTTGTGGATTGTCCTTGGTAATCCTAAGAAGCCTTTTGCATTTGGGGCCGAAAGGTCAAGGTCACAGTGGCTGAAACAATAGAAATTTTGTCAGCGCGATAACTTGAGAAATACTTTACATATGAACTTCAAATTTGGTTTGTGGATTGTCCTTGGCAATTCTAAGAAGCCTTTTGCATTCGGGGCCAAAAGGTCAAGGGTCAAGGTCACAGTGGCTGAAACAATAGAAATTTTGTCAGCGCGATAACTTGAGAAATACTTTACATATGAACTTCAAATTTGGTTTGTGGATTGTCCTTGGCAATTCTAAGAAGCCTTTTGCATTTGGGGCCAAAAGGTCAAGGGTCAAGGTCACAGTGGCTGAAACAATAGAAATTTTGTCAGCGCGATAACTTGAGAAATACTTTACATATGAATTTCAAATTTGGTTTGTGGATTGTCCTTGGCAATCCTAAGAAGCCTATCGCATTGGGGGTCAAAAGGTCAAGGGTCAAGGTCACAGTGGCTGAAACAATAGAAATTTTGTCAGCGCGATAACTTGAGAAATACTTTACATATGAACTTCAAATTTGGTTTGTGGATTGTCCTTGGCAATTCTAAGAAGCCTTTTGCATTTGGGGCCAAAAGGTCAAGGGTCAAGGTCACAGTGGCTGAAACAATAGAAATTTTGTCAGCGCGATAACTTGAGAAATACTTTACATATGAATTTCAAATTTGGTTTGTGGATTGTCCTTGGCAATCCTAAGAAGCCTATCGCATTGGGGGTCAAAAGGTCAAGGGTCAAGGTCACAGTGGCTAAAACAATAGAAATCTTGTATTTATTCTGAGATCATAGGGATTAGGGGTTAATTCATATAAAACCTACAGAAGACACTAATGCTGTCAATGAACGTTCCATTTGACCAAGGTACATGTAAGTTGATGTTAGAGTGGTGTTATGTCATGGAAACAGTCACGGTTGCGGGGCATTTGTGTTTGTAAACACACCTGACTTGTTTGAAGTTGAGTTTCCTTTTTTTTTTAAAAACCCTGTATAACCAGTTCTAATTCCTCCTTACGCACTACGAGTGCAGTATGATTATATTTGCATACTACATGTAGATATGTAATACCTTCGATACTTATGCCTTTTTTTTTCAACAGCGTATGCAAGCTAAGAAGTCCCAGGAGTCCGTCAGTGAAGACAGCAAAGAGATGGAAGCCCCAGCCCCTGAAGAACAGGTCAGTTACAGCACTTGGACAATTTGTTCATGAGCTTTGTATATCACAGTTTGAAATGGGCAAATAAGGGTGATGCAAACAAGTCATCAACCACAGACTGATTATAGGCAGTGTTGTGCTTGAAATGATAGACCTATTTTTCTATAAACCTTTGTTGTGTGTGATCAATATCTATTTTACTTGGTAGTATTGAATTAAGCCATTAAAAACACCTGGTTCACCTATAGCAGAAGACAGTGCTAAATTTAGTGTGTACATTTACGGACTTATATGCATACGGGTGTAAAGATATTCCTCTTGTTGCATCAGTACTCGGAGCACATTTCCGTAAGCGGACTTTATTATTATTATTTATCATTTCTGGTAATGAAACAAAGGATTCCTCAAAAGCGCCCTGTGCACTGTAGCTCGCAAGCCTGAAGAAACCTGTGGAGAGAAGACAATGAGAAGAAGTTACAGTTTTAGAGGTGGGAGGAAAAGCCCAGAAGAATATCCTGGGAAAAACCCACGGTAGGGACTGAAAACCCAATCCACATATTGGCCCAGGCGGGATTTGAACCCGGGTCACAGCGGTGGAAGGCGAGGAAAGTACCGCTACGCCAACCTGACTCCCCTGTCATTGTTGTTGTGCTTACTGCTACACTGGTATTGTATGTTACTTCCTCAAATTTAACCAGAAAGTAGGTTGTTACTTTTTCATGTAAACCATTTTCAATGGACTTTTATTGCCTTTGCCTATTGCCACAGCCACTAATCTTGGAAGGGCCATCTGACCAAAATTTGAACGAAGCAGCAACTAAGATTCAATCAGTGTATCGCGGTCACTTGATCCGTAGAACCAACGATGACGCCATCGTGGAAGGTTCAAGCGACCAAAATTTGAACGATGCTGCAACTAAAATCCAGTCTGTTTATCGTGGTCACTTGGTCCGCAAAACCAACGATAACACCATCGTGGAAAGTTCAAGCGACCAAAATTTGAACGATGCTGCAACTAAAATCCAGTCTGTTTATCGTGGTCACTTGGTCCGCAAAACTAAAGACACGGCTTCCTCAGAAGGGCCCACTGGGCCAAAATTGATCGAAGCTGCAACCAAGATCCAGTCAGCCTTCCGTGGCCACATGGTCCGTAAAACCAAAGATGCGGTACGAAATTTACTATTCTGATAATAGATCATTGCGCATCAGACGGCTTAGAATAGAGGAAAGCTTACGCGGCACACTCATCCAGGTGCACACAGTTGTGTTTTGCATAACTCTCGAGGACAAGGCATTGTCTTTCCCTTAGTCTTTATTATATAAGACTCTCCCATAGACTAAGCACACAAACTCACGATCGAGGACCGTTTTCAACAAAAGATGAACTATTGAGGACAACAAAGAATCTGTTGTTCTCCCTTTGTCTGTCCTCAGGGTGTAGTAATTCACACACATAAACATACATACCGGTAACATGTGCGTGTACCGGTGCATGTAAAGTCACAGTAGAAAATATATCTAGTCACAGTAGAAAATGTAGTCACAGTAGAAAATTTAATACCTAGCCATGGAGTATTGGAAGTATCACACAGTAGATAGAATTGACAGTAGTTTTGCCGGCATCAATTCAGTATATTTGCACATAATGCATTTTATAGGGAAAAAAATCCAAGTGACACCGATTACACACCCATGCCACTTGTAAAAAAAAAACACTGGATGTGACCTTGGATTAAAAAAAATAATAATAATGTAGAAATTGTAAACTTTAATGTAGAAATTGACGGGAATCCAGAATCGCAAATGACGTTGTATCCTGTCATACAAGCCTTGTCATTGAGAAAAAAAAGGACAGGCCGTTCATTTGTAATAATGTTAAAATAAAAAGAGCATGCTTGCCAACTTGCATGCGAACAGTGTGTACTTTTTAAGGGGCACTTCGGCCATACTGGGAGGGCAAGCGGCCAATGGCCTCGGTGGCCTCGGTTAATGCCGAGGCCTGGTCATTGTATCCTTTGTCATAGTTCACTGTTGTAGTCTACTACAAGTCCAGTCACAAGTCCATCACAAGTCCAGTCACAATTACAGAGGATGAGCATTAACAAAGGAATGCTTTCGTCAAAGTTCTTTGAATAGATATTGACTTGACTTGTGACTTGATAGGGCTGTTCATTTTCGAATAATTTAGTATTTGATTATTCAAAACTTGACCGAATATTCGAAACTCGCTGAGCAAGTTTTATACGTGCTTGCTGCAACTGCGTGCCGCGCCGGTCAAAAGTTGCACGCAAAGAGCGCCAGTTAAAACTCGCGTGCGATGCGCTGATCGATATTATGGGCCGCTGGAGCATTTTGCAGCTAAGTATTTCATAACTGTCAATGGCTTTAACCTTCTAAAAGGATGAGAACAATGAACCGCAGTTGATAAAAAAAAAAAGTGGCATCTGAAAATAAAGCGTCGCAACTTTATGATAATGTTTTTTTTTTTTTTTTTTTTTTTTTTAAATATTCAATCCAGCCAAAAACAATTCAAATATTTGGTTGATGATCAAATATTTGAATATTCAGTATATTCGGGACAGCTCCCTGACTTCACTTGAGACAGGCTATTGACTTGACTTGAGACTTGTGATTGACTTGTGATGGACCTGACTACAAACAACTCTGTAGTCATTTGGCATAAACTTCAGTTAATGTAGATATGTGAGTATTTGCACTGTACTTAATTGCAACATCCTCACCAAATACAAAAACACCTGTAGTATTACAACAGTCATTAGATAGTTCAAACAGAGCACATACATGTATGCATGAACACCCATGGAAAATCTGCACGTCCATTTTGTTGTACTGTGAAAAGTGGTAGTCATGTTGTGTTTGCATGCAACTCCTTGTTTTTAGGAAAATGCAACGGAGGAAGCACCAGCAGAGGACGATGCTACGCAGGAAAACACAGAATAGTTGTGGTTCGTTTGTCCCTGTTTTTAAGTTGCATCACCAACATGCACACGGGAGGCTTTCCAACGCATTTTCTATTGCTTTGGTGTCTAGAGGTTGCACATTTCTTGCATGGTTCAGGGTGTACTTACTGTGGCTTTGCGTTTGCATGGGTTATATGGACTCCGCTTACCCCCTCAACGGTTACAAAAGAGAAAGTTGGGAGGGCCGGACCACTGGGATATGGGTCCGTGCGCCAACAAAAGAGGGTGCGTTTTTACCACTTTTAAGAGCCCCTTGGACGTGACATCGCGTGTGCGTTCTGTACTGGTTTGTGCGCGAAGTTCGCAAGACTTACTTATCCTGAATGGGTACAACAATTTGAGCTTAGCCAATAGCGTCTTCGCGCGTGAGCATCAGGCGTCGTAGGTGCGCAAATACGGGTATGTTGAAATTTAACTTGCGATGGTCTCCCAGACTAATCCGCGCCCCCAATTACATGTACTGGTATTTTGGATCATTCAAAATACGCAGTGGATGGATCGAGAACCAGTCTAGGTCTCCCCCAACTCTCCTTTGCTGGCCGTTAAATGCATTAGTGACAGCGCCTGACACTCACGCGTAGACATCCTGGGTTTGTGCACATTTAGAATAAAAGGAGTCGTATGCTTTGCGTCATATGCATGCAAACCAGTCCCAGAGCTTTCCTGAGTGGCGATGAAATGCACATCTACTACGCTCATGCACAGAGTTCATAAGCTTGTCCTTCTTTTTCTAGCTTGTTTCATTGCATGACGCCGTATCACATTTGTTGTTTGAACATTGCACCACCATGAAATGCAGTGTGACTGTTGAACCCTTTGCATGCATGAACATTTGATCACAGTGATTTTTGAGTCGGTGATTAACAGATTTGGAGTTTTGATTGTGAAAATTCGAACATATAGGTTGTAGGGTAGCATGAGCATTATTCCATGGGTTTCAAAACATGTGTAACGCTGTATTACCATAGCGTGTATAGGATGGAAAATACATGCAGCTCATTCTTTAAACATCCCTACGTGTATTTTCTGCCGGGATATGGTAGTCCATGGAATATCCGCTTGCACACAAGCGTCTATGATATTCGCGCAGATTCAGCGTGTAATTATGCAAAACTAAACTGCGTCTTGACCCCCAGATTCTGACCATTCAGCGGGTGCCTTCCATCTGGTCTTCAGTAACCCGTTGTACATTGTATAGCAAATTTTATGGCAGCCAAATTTACCAATCAACAGCGTAGTCCACATTTCTGATCGAACACATCACAATGTCTAAAGTTGACTCTGATTGGCTGGTGCGCAGCTCGCATAAAATTTGCATGCTCTTCTGACTGATCCTCTGACTGCAGCAAATTAGACTTTTTATTTCTAATAATGCAGTGCAGCTTAACAATGCAGCTTAACAAGTGCACAGCCCTATATTCACCAGAAATACATTGCCAAAATATCAGGAATTTCTTTGTGTGGGACGAATTCACACAGCTGGTTGATAGACTTTCAGATCCACTAATAAATGTACACTTTGTCCCACACAGAGATTTCACACATTTTGTGTTCATAGTGTAAACTCTGTTATTTCCATACACGTACAATATGCATTATTAAACACAGAGAAGCTCTTTGTTTTGTGTTGTTGCCAGGCATACATAGTATGTGTACCGGTAGCATCCATCTTCAACAGTCAAACATATCTGCATTTAATTTTTAAAAATGTATCTATCTATCTAATACATGGCCTGCCTAGAACAAACTTTCAATACGCTAGTAACTTGTGCTGAGTGACTGCAGCTGAATTCCCATAATGCTTTTATTGAAGACAATCATGTGTAGCGCCATGACATGATTGATTGATTTCATTGCAAAGATCTCACTGCATCAAAGATCGTCACTAATCATGATTTTCTCACCCACAGGAGTATAGCCTTCTTCTTAAGCCCGGTTCATACTCGGCGCAAAAGCGAAAGCGAAAGCGAACGCGAATTTGTGACGTCATGGCAAGTATTCGCGCTGCGAATTCGTAAAAGCTGAACATAAGTAAAAGTTGAACATATTTCAACTCGGGTGAATTTCGCAGCGGATGTTTCATGACGTCAAATTCGATTCGCATTCGCATTCGCGTGAAGTATGAACCGGGCTTTAGGCTCCAAACGCCTTTTCTTCTAGCTACATGTATATGTAGTATTAAACACAGTGTGCAGTTTATAATTCTAGACTAGAATTAGTAGAAAGGAACAACAGTTTATGGGTACATGTAGGCAACATAGTTGTAGGATATGGGCCATTGTGGGTTTTTTTGGTGGGATTAATTGGATATATATGCCAAACTGTTTAGGATAGTCATGTATGTACCATATGTCATCATTTTTGGAGTTCCTATTCAGGAATACTTAATGTATTATAGGTCATTATACATGCAGTTACATGTGTATCACAATTTCAATTGTTCAATCTTAAACATGCCAGCCCTCTGCAGTCTTAATCCGTGTTCTCATAACCACCATCCATAACTCTTCATCAAAATCTCATAACCCTTCCCACGCACTCTTATTAACCCCAGTATACATGCTAACGTATCCCCTCCCTATCACCCATGTTTGTTGTGTATGTTGTGTCTCCATAGGCTGTACCTACCGTACTCCATGACAGCACCCCAGGACAGGAAGATTTGGGACAGACAGATAGTCAGGGGGAGGGAAAAGGGGTAGATGAGGATCACAGGTTCAGGATTGTAGGAACGGAGGTTATTTTGGCTAGTCATGCTTTAGAGGGGATGCAGGCTATTCAGGATATTATTCAGGGGGGTGTTAGAGAGGAAGGTGCTCAACCAACTTCAGAAGCCCCTGCCGCTGAGGTTGTCTCTGAGGTTACCCCTGAGGTAACAGCAACTGCTGATGAATCAGATGTTGAAAAAGTCAGTGAAGCTGTTCAAGAGGTAACAGAGGCTTGTATTGCTACATCTGAAGCACCCACAGAGACCTTGCCGGAAGCTTCCACTGAAATTTCACCTGATGTTGCTTATGCCGAAAAGGCCAAAGAAGAGGACACCCTGGCTGAACTTGGTGTTGAAGATGTTCAAGATGGTGCAAAACTTGAAGCTGAGGCAGCTGCAGACGCTGAGACAAAAGTGGCAGTGGAATTAAGTTCTGAAGGCCCTCAAGAGTCTGGTGTTGAAACCCAAGCCACAGCTGCTTGTGACGTCCCTCCCGAGGTTGCTGTTGAGGTAGCTGCAGAAGATGTTGAGGATGGTACACCTGCTCAGGCAGAGGCAACTGCTGATGCCAACACTGAGGCAACAGTTGTAGTGTCCGAAAGCATTCAAGAATCAGGTACGGAGAGTACAGAAACAGCTCCCGAGGCCACTGTTGAAGTTGCTGTTGACATAGCTGTTGAAGAAGGTGCATCAGCAAAAGCTGAGGCAGCTGAAGGTGCAGAGACTAAGGTGAAAGTTGAGGATAGTTCCGAAAGTGCTAAAGATCCTGGTGCTGAGACTGCATCAACAGCTGCTGAAGATATTGAAGAGGCTGCTCCAGCAAAAAGTGAGTCAGTTGCCAAGGCTGCTACCGAGATGACGGTAGATGTAAGTTCTAAAGGTGCTCAAGAGTCTGCTGAAGCTCCCACTGCTGAGGTAGCTGCTAAAGATTTTCAGGAAAATGCATCAGCAAAAGCAGATGCAGCTGCAGATGCCGAGACTGAGGTGACAGTTGAAGTAAGTCCTGAAAGCACTCAAGAGTTGGCAGCCACTGCTGTTGCTGATGCTCCTGTAGAGGTTGCTATCGAGGAAGTTACTGAAGCTGTTGGAGATGATGTATCGGCTAAAGCTGAGGCAGCTGCAGATGCTGAGACTGAGGGGAAAGTTGAGGATAGTTCTAAAGGTGCTCAAGAGTCTGGTGCTGAGAGTGTAGCCACAACTGTGATTGAGGCTCCTGTAGAGGTTGCCATCGAGGAAGCTGCTAAAGTTGTACGAGATGATGCATCAGCTAAAGCTGAAGCAGCTACAGATGTTGAGACTGAAGTGAAAGTTGAGAACAGTTCTGAAGGTGCTCAAGAGTCTGGTGCTGAGAATGCAGCCATGCCTGTTGCTGAGGCTCCTGCTGAGGTTGTTGTTCAGGTAGCTGCTGAACCTGTTGAAGATGGTGCATCAGCTAAAGCCGAGGCAGCTGCAGATGCTGAGACTGAGGGGAAAGTTGAGGATAGTTCTGAAGGTGCTCAAGAGTCTGGTGCTGAGAGTGCAGCCACAACTGTGATTGAGGCTCCTGTAGAGGTTGCCATCGAGGAAGCTGCTGAAGTTGTACGAGATGATGCATCAGCTAAAGCTGAAGCAGCTACAGATGTTGAGACTGAAGTGAAAGTTGAGAACAGTTCTGAAGGTGCTCAAGAGTCTGGTGCTGAGAATGCAGCCATGCCTGTTGCTGAGGCTCCTGCTGAGGTTGTTGTTCAGGTAGCTGCTGAACCTGTTGAAGATGGTGCATCAGCTAAAGCCGAGGCAGCTGCAGAAGCTGAGACAGAAGTGAAAGTTGAGGAGAGTTCTAAAGGTGGCCAAGAGCCTGGTGCTGAGACCCTGGCCACACCTGCTGCTGAAGCTCCAGTTGATGTTGAGGTATCTGCTAAAGATGGCCAGGATGGTTCACCTGCTAAAGCCGAGGCTGGGGCAGATGCTGACATTGAGGTGACCGTTGAAGCTACCTCTGAGGTATTTGCTGTTAACACATCCATCCCCGAAGCTACCCCTGCTGAGGTTCTGACTGAGGTTAAGGGTGATGAGGTAACCATTGATACCAGTGCTCCTGAGGTCAAAGATCCAGAGACATCCAATGAGACCGCCCTTGAGAATGTCACCACTGAGAACAAGAAATCTCCTGTTCTTGAAGATCCCAAGAAAGAGGTTGCTGATGATCAAGAGAAAAACATAGCTGAGGATTCTGGGAAAGATGTAGCTGAGGATTCTGGGAAGGATGTAGGTGGGGATTGTGGGAAGGATGAAGTTGGGGGTCCTGGGAAGGGTGACCAGGAGGACTCTGGTGAGGCAGAGGCTCAAGATTCAGATCAGGCCAACTCTGTTAACACAAAGGAAGAGGCTAGTGAGGTAGGGCTTAGTAATACATTTAAGGATGTGAAGTCTGAGTTTTAGGGGTTTTTTTTAGGGTTTCTTGAATGTTCCAGTTAGGTTTTGAGTAATTTTTTAACTTGCATATACTGAGCAACCATAAAAGCTCCATGTAGGATAGGGTTGCCTGTCATAGTCGTACTTTAGTTTGATCAAAATTTTTTGTAGTTGGTGCCTTTTATGCAGCTTGCAGCTTTTCCAGCTTCAAATTCATCTTGAAATCCATGTGCACTCAAGTCGAATCTTACAACAGCTGTTTTTCTTGTGTTCAGCATTCAAACTTATACGTGCACTTGTATTTTACTCATGTGTTCATTGTATACAACTTCCCAGGTCAACAGCAAACCCGCTGAGGCCCCTCAGGATGCCACAAAAAAACAAGAAGAGGAAGAGGAGATTGACATTGACCTCAACGACCCGGACGTAGAGAAGGCCGCCGTCAAGATCCAATCCAGCTTCAAGAACCTCATGTCCAAGAAGAAGAAGAGCAAGGAGGTAGTGGATACAGCCGACGGAACGGCCAGTTCTGACCAATAACTTACCTGTATAGGGTCTGATTTGGAGGTTTTGAAATATCCTAGTTTTTATAGTGACTTTAAGGTGGTACTTATTATAACAATATATTTATTTTGAAAGGGGTGTGGCTTTGACAAGAACCAAAATTTTATCAGATCTGCAGCCTTTTACCCATATGAGCATAGAACCACCACAGAATCACCTCTAACACTGCATTTGCACTTCGACTAGCAATACATTACGTACAGATTAATCCAGTGGTTTTGGCATTTTCAAAATTTGTTACAATATCAAGAGTGTTGTGAATACATGTTTATGAAATATTAGGAATGTTGTGACAAGCACATATGTGATATTAGCAAAAGTGTTTTAAACAATGATGCGGTGTGTGTCTGTACGTTAACACCATGTACTTTAATAACACATAGAACATGACCTTGTTAGTTTCACCTTCACTTTTTAGAGCTCATATTTCAAAACCTCCAAATCAAAGTGTTTTTTTTCTATGCACCTCTGTATCACTCATATTCATATATTTCCTGGAACTGTTTTGATAGAAAAACAAAATCATGGTTATAGATGGTAGACATTTGTATTCACTGATGTTGTATTCTTATCAGTTAGATATTTGATACAAGAAGATGAAAATATCGACAGATCAGTACTTTACCTCAGAGTCAGATAGTTTGGATATATACTATAGAATATTTATAGAATAGTTCTATAATAGCGAATATTTTTCTCTTTTAAAATTCAGTGATTGTGGTCTTCACAGTGTTTTTCAGCACAAAATTGTTCTGGTAGAAATGGAAAACAATTTTTGAGAGTCATGATGATCAGTTGCCTTGTAAATTGCTTTTTTCCTTTTTGCTGTTTTAATATGGTTCTCAAGTTTAGCGTACCTCTTTGTCTCTAAAACAGAAATGCACAACTATTTATTACAAAGAATACTGCGTATTCAAAACCTGCACAGAAAAGTATAAAGTGGAGTGTAATTACACCTTGTCTTCTTAAATACATGTTAATTGTGATTGGTTAAAACACACAACTGTTATTCACATTGTCCAATAAGGCCACAGAATTGACCAATAGCGTTCAGCAATACATACATGTATTGGCATACATACAAGGTCTTCCATGATAAGGCATTCTATTGGTTCCTCGTTCAGTCACTACCTTGAAAATTTCACCGAATTTTTTGAAAACAAAAACACCCTTGATGCACACACAGCAAATTATGTCCAACATGTTATACTTTATATTTTTTGTTGTAAAATATTAAACTTTGGTTGCCTTCTCTCCTCGTATTTGTGTACATTTATGCGCTTAATATTTTGGTTCAGTTTATGGTTGTACATAGATGTATGTTTATTTTAGTTTTAATTTTTGAAAAATAACGGTGGATTTTTTTTTTTGTATCATACTTTAATTTGAACACTTTGGTGATTGCTTTATCTAAGCAGCCCCAACACCTACCAGAATTTGTTTCAGTTCAGTTGCGGCAATCACATGCAGATATGTTTCAGTCGACGCTGTCTGCACCTACAGTAATGCCACTGATATGCTTTTATAGGCTGTCCCCACAACCTTCCACTTCTGTGTACTATTTTGTGAAATCTTGATTCCTTGGTAATAAATAAGCATACATTTAAATGTAAGCTCTCATTTTGATGTCGTGAATGTGTTTACCTTTGTGACTATCTTCAGTGTACTTGTCAAACTGCATTTGCTGCGTTCCAAACGCAGGGTGATTGGGCAGACATATCGTATTGGTAGTTTTGTTTTGTATTTATCAGAATACAAAAAAAAGAATCACGCAATTCAGCCTTTTCTAGTGGAACCATTGGTTTTAATTTGGAAAAAAAGCTTTTAGTTGGATAATTTTCAGATTACATTTATTTACATGTACAACTCATTTCCGGTTTGATGAAATCATGCAGAGTGAATACATACATGGGGCGTAGCAAGGTCATTTTATTGGGGGGGGGGGGTTCGCAAAAAAATGTGTTTTTGTCCCTTTTTTGATAAAAATGCAAGGCCAACCCCTTAACAGTTTGAATTTGTGATGAAAACTTAACTTTCCCCCATTTTGATAAAAATGCAAGGCTAACCCCTTGTTTTGAATTCGTGATAAAAATGTGTTTTCGTCCCTTTTTTGATACGAATGCAAGGCTAACCCCTTACCTTTTTGAGTTGGTGATGAAAGTTGTTTTTGCTCCGTTTTGATGAAAATGCAAGGCTAACCCCTAACCGGTTTGAATTTGTGATGAAAACTTAACTTTCCCCCATTTTGATAAAAATGCAAGGCTAACCCCTTGTTTTGAATTCGTGATAAAAATGTGTTTTCGTCCTTTTTTTGATACAAATGCAAGGCTAACCCGTTACTATTTTGAATTTGTGATACAAACTTAACTTTCCCCCATTTTGATAAAAATGCAAGGCTAACCCCTTACCGTTTTCAATTTGTGATAAAAGTTGTTTTTGCCACTTTTTGATAAAAATGCAAGGCTACCCCCTTACCGTTTTAAATTTGTGATGAAAACTGAACTTTCCTCTATTTTGATAAAAATGCAAGGCTTACCCCTTACCGTTTTGAGTTTGTGATAAAAGTTGTTTTTGCCACTTTTTGATAAAAATGCAAGGCTCACCCTTACCGCTTTGAATTTGTGATGAAAACTTAACTTTCCTCCATTTTGATAAAAAGGCAAGACTAACCCCTTACCGTTATGAATTTGTGATAAAAGTTGTTTTTGGCACTTTTTGATGCAAATGCAAGGCTAACCCCTTACCGTTTAAAATTTGTGATGAAACTGAACTTTCCTCCATTTTGATAAAAATGCAAGGCCAACCCCTTACCATTATGAATTTGTGATAAAAGGTTTTTTTGTCCCTTTTTGATTAAAATGCAAGGCTAACCCCTTACCGTTATGAATTTGTGATAAAAGTTGTTTTGCCCCTTTTTGATAAAAATGCAAGGCTAACCCCTTACTACTTTGAATTTGTGATAAAAACTTAACTTTCCCCCATTTTGATAAAAATGCAAGGCTAACCCCTTAGCGGTTTGAATTTGTGATAAAAACTTAACTTTCCCCCATTTTGATAAAAATGCAAGGCTAACCCCTTACCGGTTTGAATTTGTGATAAAAGTTGTTTTTGCCCCTTTTTGATAAAAATGCAAGGCTAACTCCTTACTATTTTGAATTTGTGATAAAAACTTAACTTTCCCCCATTTTGATAAAAATTCAAGGCTAACCCCTTACCGTTTTGAATTTGTGATGAAAACTTAACTTTCCTCCATTTTGATAAAAATGCAAGGCTAACCCCTTACCGTTTGAATTTGTGATAAAAGTTGTTTTTGCCACTTTTTGATACAAATGCCAGGCTAACCCCTTACCGTTTTAAATTTGTGATGAAACTGAACTTTCCTCCTTTTTGATAAAAATGCAATGCTAACCCCTTACCGTTTTGAATTTGTGATTAAAACTTATACTTTCCCGCATTTTGATAAAAATGCAAGGCTAACCCCTTACCGTTTTGATTTTGTGATAAAAGTTGTTTTTGCCCCTTTTTGATAAAAATGCAAGGCTAACCCCTTACTATTTTGAAATTGTGATAAAAACTTAACTTTCCCCCATTTTGATAAAAATGCAAGGCTAACCCCTTACCGTTTTGAATTTTGGATAGAAAATTTGTTTTTGCCACTTTTTGATAAAAATGCAAGGCTAACCCCTTACCATTTTGAATTAGTGATAAAAGTTGTTTTTGCCCCTTTTTGATAAAAAATGCAAGGCTAACCCCTTACTATTTTGAATTTGTGATAAAAACTTAACTTTCCCCCATTTTGATAAAAATGCAAGGCTAACCCCTTACCGTTATGAATTTGTGATAAAAGTTGTTTTTGCCACTTTTTGATAAAAATGCAAGGCTAACCCCTTACTGTTTTGAATTTGTGATGAAAAGTTAACTTTCCTCCATTTTGATAAAAATCCAAGGCTAACCCCTTACCGTTTTGAATTTGTGATAAAAACTGAACTTTCCTCTATTTTGATAGAAATGCAAGGCTTACCCCTTACCGTTTTGAATTTGTGATAAAAGTTGTTTTTGCCCCTTTTTGGTAAAAATGCAAGTCTAACCCCTTACTATTTTGAATTTGTGATAAAAACTTAACTTTCCCCCATTTTGATAAAAATGCAAGGCTAACCCCTTACCGTGTTGAATTTTGTGATAAAAGTTGTTTTTGCCCCGTTTTGATACAAATGCAAGGCTAACGCCTTACCGTTTTAAATTTGTGATGAAAACTGAACTTTCCTCCATTTTGATAAAAATGCAAGGCTAACCTCTTACCGTTTTGAATTTGTGATTAAAACTTAACTTTCCCGCATTTTGATAAAAATGCAAGGCTAACCCCTTACCGGTTTGAATTTTGGATAGAAAAGTTGTTTTTGCCCCATTTTGATAAAAATGTAAGGCTAACCCCTTACCGTTTTGAATTTTGGATAGAAAATTTCTTTTTGCCACTTTTTGATAAAAATGCAAGGCTAACCCCTTACTATTTTGAATTTGTGATAAAAACTTAACGTTCCCCCATTTTGATAAAAATGCAAGGCTAACCCCTTACCGTTTTGAATTTGTGATACAAGTTGTTTTAGCCACTTTTTGATACAAATGCCACGCTAACCCCTTACCGTTTTAAATTGGTGATGAAACTGAACTTTCCTCCATTTTGATAAAAATGCAAGGCTAACCCCTTACCGTTTTGAATTTGTGATTAAAACTTAACTTTCCCGCATTTTGATAAAAATGCAAGGCTAACCCCTTACCGTTTTGATTTTGTGATAAAAGTTGTTTTTGCCCCTTTTTGATAAAAATGCAAGGCTAACCCCTTACTATTTTGAAATTGTGATAAAAACTTAACTTTCCCCCATTTTGATAAAAATGCAAGGCTAACCCCTTACCGGTTTGAATTTGTGATAAAAGTTGTTTTTGCCCCTCTTTGATAAAAATGCAAGGCTAACCCTTTACTATTTCGAATTAGTGATAAAAACTTAACTTTCCCCCATTTTGATAAAAATGCAAGGCTAACCCCTTACCGTTATGAATTTGTGATAACAGTTGTTTTTGCCCCATTTTGATAAAAATGTAAGGCTAACCCCTTACCGTTTTAAATTTTGCATAGAAAATTTGTTTTTGCCACTTTTTGATAAAAAAAAAGGCTAACCCCTTACCATTTTGAATTTGTGATAAAAGTTGTTTTTGCCCCTTTTTGATTAAAAATGCAAGGCTAACCCCTTACTATTTTGAATTTGTGATAAAAACTTAACTTTCCCCCATTTTGATAAAAATTCAAGGCTAACCCCTTATCGTTTTGAATTTGTGATGAAAACTGAACTTTCCTCCATTTTGATACAAATGCAAGGCTAACCCCTTACCGTTTTAAATTGGTGATGAAACTGAACTTTCCTCCATTTTGATAAAAATGCAAGGCTAACCCCTTACCGTTTTGAATTTGTGATTAAATCTTAACTTTCCCGCGTTTTGATAAAAATGCAAGGCTAACCCCTTACCGTTTTGATTTTGTGATAAAAGTTGTTTTTGCCCCTTTTTGATAAAAATGCAAGGCTAACCCTTATTTTTTTGAAATTGTGATAACAACTTAACTTTCCCCCATTTTGATAAAAATGCAAGGCTAACCCCTTACCGTTATGAATTTGTGATAAAAGTTGTTTTTGCCCCATTTTGATAAAAATGTAAGGCTAACCCCTTACAGTTTTGAATTTTGGATAGAAAATTTGTTTTTGCCACTTTTTGATAAAAATGCAAGGCTAACCCCTTACCATTTTGAATTGGTGATAAAAGTTGTTTTTGCCCCTTTTTGATTAAAAATGCAAGGCTAACCCCTTACTATTTTGAATTTGTGATAAAAACTTAACTTTCCCCCATTTTGATAAAAATGCAAGGCTAACCCCTTACCGTTATGATTTTGTGATAAAAGTTGTTTTTGCCCCTTTTTGATAAAAATGCAAGGCTAACCCCTAACTGTTTTGAATTTGTGATACAAACTTAACTTTCCTCCATTTTGATAAAAATGCAAGGCTAACCCTTTACCGTTTTGAATTGGTGATAAAAGTTGTTTTTGCCACTTTTTGATAAAAATGCAAGGCTAACCCCTTACTGTTTTGAATTTGTGATACAAACTTAACATTCCTCCATTTTGATAAAAATGGAAGGCTAACCCCTTACCGT